GGCCTGGCAGGTCAAGGAAAAAGTCTTGCAGCAGTCCCTCAGATTTCAACCGCGATTTCCGTGGTGGATGAGATTTAATAAGATACAGTAAAATCAAATCATCAAGCAGTCTTGCAAAACGTCACTAAAAAGGGATGTTCAACCAGCAATCAATTGGATTCAATCAAACAATTGGGCAAAACAAATGTTGATGGACCTACGAACCAGCTAAAACGATGATTTTGCAGGGATCCAAGATTGCCAGTTGTCTTAGTTAATGGGAGCCAGGAATCCGTGCTAGTAAAAAAAATGGAAAGCATGTGAAGTACCTTATTTTGACCTTTGACCCTTTTGTTGAGTGATCTGCCGTTTTTTCTCTGTGTTCAAGTTGTTTTAGTGTTCTTGTCCAACTTTCATGTGATATTGTTGCATACATTTACTGCAGATGTTACTTACATGTACTTACAATCCCATGCCAGGCCATATTCAATACACAACTGGTGAATTTCGATATGACAAAACATCTTGGAAAACCTGGAGATGATGGTTGGCCACTGAATAATGCCGTAATTCCTTCATGTGGGTACAAGGAATTGCCAGATCTTCTGTACATCCAGTATAAAGAGATATATATATATATATACACATTGTATATGGTGTAGTATGTTTTCATAAATGCACTTCCTAGATATTTGCAACAGATTCGGAGTAGAAGCACTTGTTCGAATTAAAACCATCGTGGGTTCTTTGATCAAGCCCTACCAGTTGTCAAAGAATCCGTGGGGCATTTGGTTGATAACTGGAAATAAAACTGTGATTTATGGCTATACCCATAGATATGGATACTAAACCATGAAACACTATCAAACACATTTAAAGACCTATTAGATTATCCCATATTTCTACCATATTTCTATCATATTTCCACCATATGTATTCTATATTCATCCCAACGTTGACGCCACCGTCGTCCTCCGTGGCAGGTGGCGTCCCTACAGCGGACGGCTGCCCATCGGTACCGGGAAGGCGGAAGAGATGCGGCAGCAGGCGGAGATCACGGCCGAAAGAACTCGGCGAAATGTTACAAGGTGGTGCCCCCAAGATAGCTAACTTGGTTTATAACTCCAATAACTATGGTTTATAGGTGATCTATCTATAGTTAATGGGGTTTATAAACCAATTTATAACTAGGGGGCACCACCTTGTTCATGGTGATTTGGCAGTGTGTCAAAACCCTGGTACCCCTGTAGTTCACATCAAAATAGCTGGGTTAAAATGGATGTTCATCCCACCAAAAATGCATCTATATAGGTATTGATCCATAGCCATTTGGCACCAACATACTGTGGATGGTTGCGAAATCACCAGTTGATAGGTGGTTTATCCCATGATTTCTAGGGTTTCAACATGTTTCAACCATCCCAGGTGCAGGATTTCCTCCATCCACCGTATGGTGTGTGAATTCCATGGTTCGTGAAGTTAAATGAAGTTCATGCATCAGAATTCCATGTGAATTCCATGTGACTTCGCCCTGCAAACATGTGTTTTTTTTTCTTTCATTTTGATGGTTTGGTTCTGGAAAAATTGCCCATTTGTAGATGATTTGGCCATGAAAACATTGTGGTTTGCGATGGCTATTTTAAATTACCAGAGGGTAAACTTTGGGTGATACTTATGGTGGGTTTGATCGTCAGCCAGCAGAAATAGCTATATCATATGCTGAGTCAGCCAATGCTGAGTGAAGCAGATATGGTCCATCTGGTGGCGTGATTTTGCCAGCGCAACTGGTGATTTTGCCAGCAAGAGTAGTGATTTTGCCTGGTGCATCCTGGGAAAGTTGGGAAGCACCTGGATTCAAATCGGTGGCTTGGTTGATAATGATCAATAGTACTGGTTAATGATAGGGTGCATAGGGCGAATCTATGGTGAATCTATGCAGGGCACCAATATTTGCAAGGGGCCTGTTTGAATCCCCGGTGAATTTCTGTGTAAACCATCGCAAGGTGTAGATTTCAAGCAAGAAAAGAGCGGATTTTAACCATCAACCCGTGGTTTAAACCAGTGAAAGGGGCAACCGTTTGGGGGAAATTTCATGAAATTTCCGGCCGATAGTTGGGAGACGGTGGGAAATTGGGGATGCTGCCGCAGTGGTTCCAGGTCAAGTACGATCCCGAAGTCGGCGTGGTGGTTTTTGACCAGGCAGGGGAAAAAATACTCCTGGGACTTCATCTAAAATGACAGTCACGGTGAACGGGATGGATGTTGAGTTTATTGTTGGTTTACCCACATTTAAATATACCTTTTTGTAGTTTCTACAGCCGTGTCACCATGAGATTCTAGCAACACGAAGCATCAAACCAGGGATGCTGTTTCTGCCGAGCAAAATGCATGTCTTGAACAACGAAGTGGCTATGGCTCGCACATTGCGCACCAATGAGCCGTTCATTTACTTTAATTTGTCTTCACCAATCCTTTTCTTGGGATGCCTATTTATAAGTATATATAATTCATTATATAAGATTCATTAAATATCATATATATGTATATACAGATACTTAGATATAGATACTTAGATCTTATATCATTATATAGTATGTATTAATATCATTATATCTTATATCTAATATATGTATATATAGATACTTAGATAGTGTTTATGATATCGCATCATTCCCCATCACCCCATCAGCCCCAGTTCTGCGAATTTCTCGAACGACCGAGGACATGTCTTACCGGATGCTCATGACCCTCAAGGGTCGTATTGCGTCGCTTGGTCGGTTTTTCGGTCCATGTCGAAGAACATGGGGGATCCAACCAACAGTTTTTGGAGAGAACGGGATTACCCAACCTGGTAAACATACAAAAAGCTATTGAAAATGGCCATTTATAGTGGATTTTCCCATTGAAAATGGTGGATCTTTTCATAGCTATGTTAGTTTACCAAAGGGTACCCAACCTGGGTATGACTAACATAGCCATGGTATAGATGGCCCTAATCGAAATAGATGGTTTACCTATTAAAAATGGGTGGATCTTTCCAGAGGGTAACTTTTTTTTTTTTTTAACATGTGGTATTCAGGATTTGGTTGAACATGGAGGAACACCAAATCCGATGGTGTAGCATGATGTTGCCAAGGGCAATTTTGGGGTATATCGGTATATCCCTATTTCTGGACACCATTTCACAATATGTCACATGTTTTCTATGTTTCATTCAGTCGCTATCAGTAGAGTGAACAGACAATTTGGACATCCTGGAAATTGATCACCATTTGGCACAACCCCCAAGCCAAAGTGTCTCTACTTGGGGGTATATCCCTAACGTTAGTAAGTGGCTAACAATCGTATTATACCCAAGTTATATCTAATTTCATCTCATTAGATATCGGTTCTATAGGGGCTGAGCGGATTGTAGCCATACATGTTGATTTTGGGGTTTGGTGGGGATCAGATGGGTAAAATGTTACATATCACATATTTTTTGGGGGCAGAGGATCAAGGAATCAACAAGAGAAACACGTATGTTTTTGTTTTAGATTCTAGGTTCTAGTATAACCCGTATACCTTTGGGTTCCTTTTTGTGGAATTTATTTGGAAACAGAAACTGGTGTGCGGATCATCCATGAATGAAACATGTTCTACCGTTCTAGTCCTAACATGTTACTGTGCAGTTGTAAACAGACGGGGGATCCGTCAAAAAAATTGCAACCTTATTACCAGGTAGACTGTCTTGTTTAGTCATGAGCCATCCGTGTCTGGGGATCTAGTCCCCATAGACGATACATGGATCTGGAAGTTAAATTCGATGAGTTGAACCTTCGAAGCATATCCCAAGTCCACCCCAAATCTGAAAGGATTCCTCTCATGGATTATCTCCAAGTGGCAAGTGATAAAGTGATGAGCTTTAGACTCTAGGGATCTGTTGGGATTTCTGAAAGACACCTGACCCTGGTTTTCCCAAGGCCCAACGGAGAATGTGGAGCTGCCTTGGATATTGATCGATTTTGGAGTATGGGTGATAGTTTTGGAATGGATGAGGAGGATGATGATGATGATGACGATGATGATGATGATGATGATGATGGGTTATTGGCATATTATAACATACTGATACATGATAAATCAATATAAATCATGATAATGACGATATAAATATGGCAATATGACAGCACTGGCATCCTGGATCCACATTTTTAATGAAGGAAATCAGCCTACAAGGCCAAATGATGGAAAGTCAACTTCGCATGCCACAGAATGATCACAGAATGAGTCACCAAGTGAAAGCTTTCGGCTTTCGACAGATGCCAGGTGTGATCTTGGACAGGACCTCGCTGATTCTGAGGACAGTCGAGCCTCGAGCAATCTCGAGTCGGGCAGGTTGATGCCCACCGTCTCGTCCTAGATTTGACGCTTGAGCAGGATTCCAACCTATTCCCTTTTCGGCCAAGAAAAGGTCTAGAGAGCTCTTGTAACCTGACACCCTCTCACCAAACATGGTACATCTCTTAAATTTGACTTGGACCATTGATATATATATACACAATATGATATATTTGCTGAAGAGCCATCTTCCAAGCCCAATAAAATTGATGTTCCTTGTGAATTTTTGGCTTTTTGGGATAAGTTTCAACGGCCCCAGGGCCACTGCAGAACATACAGGAATCACATTCTTTTTCGGTGTTGAAACAGGGGACACTGGTTGATGTTCAACATGAAACTTCCCTACTTCGAAGAAAACAATAGAAGCCAGCTATTCAAACGGCACAGAAAAAATATAGATGACCTGGGATGATTTCAAATTATCAAGAATAAATAATGAGAAGCAATGATTTTCTAATTGATAAGAACCAGATTCTGTACATCTACCCTTTCCTACCAATATCCTCGATTATCAAGCATGAAATCATTCTCCACCATTCTCCCCCAATATCCGCCATCCACCATCATTTCAGGGATCTCACCAAGTTCCAAATTTGGCTCCAGGATTTTCGCGCAGCGAGCGCGAACCAAAGAAGCCAAACTCCAAGTGAAGCTTCTTGGCACCGTTCCGGCCTTCAGCGTGGGAACGGCCTTGTTTCGACTGTAACCGGGTAATGTCCACAACTTGGGTATACCATGGTATACCCCAAATCCACTAGTGAAGCATCATATTATCAGATATCATCGGATATTAAACATTCCAGTGGCTAGTTCATCGTTAAGTTTTCCACATCAAACAGTATACCAAGCCAAAGCCGAGCCGTTTGTCAATCCATCGTTGCCAGCTGCCCAGATTGGCAAGCCTGCGCTACATGTTGCCCCGTTTGCGCTACTACCTCACCACGGTGCGCCCGATCCGGAGGCTTTTTTCATATCCAGAAAAGTGATGTAGAAGGGAGACAAATTCTACAAAGGATGCCTTCTCGAGAACTTATCAGTGGGCAAATGGAAAACCTGATGCAACATGTACCATGTAACTTGAGGTTATCTTTCCGGCCATGTAACTTGAGACTATCTTTCCGACTATATGGCTACAGGTCAAAATTGGATAGTGGTCCCGTAGGTCTTAACCGTTGACGACCCTGTCACCAGTTTCAAAGCTCGAAGGAACATGATTTTTGTGGCCAACTTGCTCCGCAACACCCAGTGAAATACTCCACATCGGGGCATTTTTGAGTTTCCTCAAGTTGGTTTATAACCCGCATAAACATGCATAAACTATAGATAGTTCTACCAGAAACCCTAGTCATATATCTGGATGAATTATAGTGACCTCACTGTGACGTGACTGGAATGACGCTTAGATGGCGGGGAATCATCCCTAAATGGCCGAAGATTTTAGCTTTTTTAGGGTCGGTGAGCTATTATAATTCAGCCAGATATATTAATATTGACTAAGATTGTACTAACTATACTATAAATCAGCCAATTATTATAATTCAACAATTTTTCACTTTTTTCAATTCATATAGAATAATCCCCATGAACTATAGAATACTATAGATATGTGTATCATATATGTATCATAAACCCAGGGGCCACTATAGATATGTGTCAGGGCGCAGGAATGGAGGCGCAAGGTGGATCAGTTGGTGCCGGAGGTGTGCGGAATCCCAATCTGACTGGGCAGTTGATACGTTGCCTTTATGGCAACCATGGTGACATATATGGCCCCATACATAGGTATCATAAGTAGTATCCATAAGTTGGCATATATAACTCCTATGACTATGGTCATACAATATATATATATATATATTTATATACACAATATATGATATATATATATATATCCACTTATTTACTGGAACATACTGGAACTGCACTTCCAAGTTTGGTTGGCTGACAGATTTCTGGGGCTGCGCTCCATCAACCAACCTTGAGGATTGCCAATTCACAGAATTTCTACCAAAAGTATCATTTATAACTGGGCATATTGGGAATCCCCATAGAACCACACATTATTTGGGGATATTTGGGGATTGTCCAATAGGCTTTAGATACCGCTCAACCAGCATAGATGGAACATATGGCCTAGATGACTTTCCTGTGAAATCCAGCACTTTTTCATTGCCATGCTATTGGATATTATGGTACAACCTACCATTTGGTCATTCAACATATCTGTGGAAAAGCGCAATTTTATAACAGGCAAATCATCTATAAATTGGCTATTTTCATAGCTTTTGTTGAATTCAGGGTAGTGACATCACGTCCAGACAGACCTCAGAGCCGAACAGTTGAATGGTCCCCTGGTCCAAACTGAGTCCGCTTCTGGCGGTGGTGCTTACCTCAAAGGCATGGGGGTAGGAAATCGTTGTTCAGGGAGTGATTTGATCCCAAATGACTGATATTCTGATGGCTTGAAACTACAAGGCCACATCACCCATGAAAACGGAGAGCAACATATCAACGGATAGATCTAACGGAACTAACTGCTGTTCGGTAGATTACAGTAGTCGTTCATAGTCTTTAAGCCTTTCCAGGACAATTTTAAATTCGGTATGGTATTATTATAATGTATTACAAGAAGCCACCCTAGTTTGGGGCTTTCCAAGGCATAGGGGGACACCAAGTTATGATCCAAGCTATTGGTCAGTGTTGACAACCAGAAAGCTATGGTGATAAGCGGCTCCGGCAACGTGGGATAAGCTATGATTTTTCCCATTAACTTCATCCATTTAGTGGATTTCCCATTGCTACATTTGATTACCGGAGGGTATTGCTAATGTTTCGTTTGTTTGAATGTTGATGGATTAAATGAAACTACCTTGCTTCCCAGACAATGTGGTCAATGCAAACATGAACCTACAATCTGGGGATGATTTATACCACCCATTTATGATACTGTCTAAATCTGTGAAAATACTGGATAATATAGGGGATTGCCACATTATCCAAACTGTTTTCCATTATTGCTGAATATTGGTAAGAAATGTAAAACTGGTCTCAACTGGGTATTATAGAGAACCAAAAAAAAAACTATACAAGGTGGTGCCCCATAGTTAGCTAAGTTGGTTTATAACTCCCATAACTATGGTTTATGGTAGATATAAGTATAGTTAATTGGGTTTATAAAGCAACTTATAACTGGGGGGCACCATCCTGTAATTTGTGGATTCTTTATCTTTGGATTTGTCACATTGTTTCTGTTGGAAATGTCCATCTCAGAACGCACGCCTGTTTCGCCCCATTTTTTTTCTGCCTTTGCGAGGAAAGGGAGAAACGCAGTTGCAGATGGACAGGCGCCAATTTGGTGTCAACGAGTTCGCAGAGATCGGGTTTAACCCCAGGGGATTGCCAATTTGGTGTCCGAAGATGGGGGTTGTATCCATAAAGCCGATATTGTCATGGGGAGAACGATGATCGACCATCAAATTTTGGGTACTCCGTGCTCAGAGAATCCAATTGTTTGTCCCTAAAAGGGGGGAAAAAATAGAAAGCACTTGTTTGAAGTGGTTTTGGTTCTTGGACAGCTGGCACTGTTTATTGACTCCAGCATATCCCCAATGGCATGTTGATTTTCTTAGAAAAATGACACTTCAAACCATGGGCTCTAATGGGGGTACCTTAGTTTCAGACAAAACCGAACAGATCTTTACAGCGGATACATTGTGTGGGTTCCACCTCCATGTTTGAAGGGATACACCATATGCTTCATGGTAAAATCATGGGTTGCTATTTAAAACCATGAACACAAATCATTTGGTCTCCTCTCAATCATTTCAATCATTTGGTCCCCTCTCAAATCTGACAGAGATCTCACAAATCAGCGCGAACCGCGATGGTTCCCATGGTTCCTGTTCTGAAAAGAGCACAGAACCGCTGAACCGCTGTCAGAAAGATACTGAGGTGTATGGTGTGTTCTTTGATGATACTGGGCTTCTACCTTTCTTGATTCAATTTTAACTTGTACCTTTGCGTTACATAAATCAATATATACTTTGTTTCATGTCCCACCCAATAAGAAGTCTTTGGACAATGTATATCAAGACATCCCTTACAAAACCACCAGTCTTTGCTGTATGTTCGTTCGAGTTTCAGCCATTTCTTGGACCTTGGGTGGGTAGTTTCATACAGCACTTTCAAAAAAATGGGGATTTAAGATGGATTTAAGCGCCCCATCAAAGGCGACCCCCAGCCCGATTATCAGGACGAATCTCAACCACAAAAGGTTTTCCCATCGCCTTTGGGGTGGTGATGACGGGATATGTCTGAAAGTTTTGGGCAGCCCCCAAAACATCCAAAGCCTAGTGGAAAAACCCTCTCAAACTGCCATTCTGGTGATTTATGCCATGGTATACCATGGTATACCATGGTATACCCCATTCCCAGAGAAATCCGTTCATAGTACCAAATGATATCAAATGATATTTGTTTTGCAGGCAACAATCAAAGAGTGGCCATGGTGTGAATTCATGTGAATTCAGTGGATGTGCATCCCACGAATCACAGGTGGTAACTTTTTCTAAACGGGTTATGATTCATTGCTATTGTCCACTTTTCAGAGTCTTAATCAGGATGCATCCCCAACTGATAGATCCACCAGATCCACCAGGAATCCACCATTTTTCAAGAGTTAGCCTAGCTGCTGTATATCAGCAAACTTCGTGACTCCATACTGGGGCACCAATTTGAAGTGACTTCGAGCTGCTTAGCACTGCTTAGTCGCTAACAGCACCGTTGGCCCATGGCCCAGTGACCTTGTCATTCGTCACCTAAGTGACTTATGTATACTTAAGTGAGCCTAAGGCCACTCAACATCACCAAGGTCACTCTAGCGGTGGACAAATCAAGGGATTCCATGGCTTTCGACCCATCGGATGGTTTCCCATAGCAACTGCCAGCTGTTTATCGTTGGGATTACAGCAGTCACATGAGATGCAGGGATTTTTCTCAGTCTCAAATCGAGCTATTTCTGTATAAGTGACCAATGACTTGCTTCCACTGTATGGTGTTTCACCCGGACAATTTGAGATTGTGAGAGACATCTGAGATGTATGACCTTGTTTATGGAGTTTTGCAACCTAGAAAAATCATAAAATCGCTTTTATTTTCTGGGTCGGCTTCCTTCGTCCAAGCCGCAGCGATGTATCCAGAGGGCACCACCTCGCAACATCTCGCAACAATCATCTGGAATATATCCAAATATGAGAAGCGTATAGCAGGCACAATGTGCAGCCGTATATGCATGTATATACCCTTATATACCCCATATGCTTCATGTATGGTACATTATTTTCATTTGGGCCATTATTTGATGGTCAATATGCCATGGAGCATTTGCATGTACCTGTGTTTGTATTTACACATGCACACTACATGACAACCAAGTAACATGATGAACCACCAGAAAGACAAGCTCTTTCACCTTGGCGCAAAGATCTTGAGCTGGTCTTGGACACCACAGCCACGCAGTTCTGCAGTAGCGTGTCAGACAACCTGGACAGCCTGGACATGGGGTAATCGTGAAGAATACCTCCAAGGAGTTGAGTCAGTTGGCTATCTCTCAGGCAGACTCTAAGAGGAACATATTCTTGAAATGCAAGGTCATCTTGGAGGTTGCACCGTAGTTGAAGCAAGGCTGGCCATTTCCAATTGGCAAGCTCATGTACATGAACCATTTTTGAGATTGCTCCTGAAATTTAGGGTGAGAAACGAAAGGTGGGCCGCTCATGACTTTGATGGAGTCGCACTACAGCAAGCGAGAGTATACCAAACAAAATCTTCGCTACCATATTATGCTACCATGGATTAGGCACATCGGTTGCCAAGCACGAATAGATGGAGCATAATGACAATCGCCCAGCGGGACTATGTATAGGAATTGGTGCATTGGTCTACCAGGCTTGGTCTGCCAGGCTTGGTCTGCCAGGCAGCCTGATGCACACAGCGTTTTGCTTCTGTGGCTGCGCGGGCCCTTTAACATGAAACTGGCCCCTCCGGTGGCTAGATTTCAAGCAGCAAAACGCCTTGGCGCCCAGAGCGTTCCAATTGTTAAAGGCCAAATTTGTTTGTTTGGTGTTTCATGCCAGTTTTGCTGCTGCAGACATGTGTGCTCTTGTGCGTGAGGACACTCTTGAAAAAGCGTATCTCTGCTTGCATGAAGCAGTTGGAGGAGGTGCCCTTCTGACAGTTTGCGGGCCATAAACGCGGGCACTCACCCATGCCCTACGGAATAAGTTGGCTATAGGGTCGTACTGACAGCGTTTGTTGATACGACAAGGTCTACCGTCTTTTGAACAGTTGCTAAGTCGGCCACTTTTGAACAAAGCGCTTTCAACACCCCCACCAGTAAGACATGCCGCGGGTTTGTTTACCCAGGCCTTCCAAAGGCCAGGTTAGGCTTGGCCGTTACACTAACAGCCAGCCGTTACCTCAAGACCATCGAAGACCCATGGTATTTATTTAAATTTATATAATGGTTTTGTTGATCTTGGGAATCTTGGGATAAGGGGAACCCACCAAACACCACATACACTCCACAGCCTCAGCAGCAACAGCTGCTCATCAACCAATTTCAAGTCTATAAGTCTATAAGTGCCAAGACGGCTTGAAATGACCAATGGTTCCAAAGATTTCAATGAAAAAAACGTGACAAGTTTGTACCCCAAAAGATGAGTAACATTTAGGCACAAGTTGTTGGTTGCTTTTCACGGGTTTTTCACGGCCGTTTCACGGGTGTTTCACGATCATTTCACGGACTTTTCACGGTCCAGATTTTGTGGGAAATTTTAGGTAGGTACTTTCATCAGATCATATTCTGTTTTATATTTGGTGGCATCATGATCTAAGATGCAGACGTTTGTGCAGAGCCCGTGCTCCTAGGCGCATTTTACTCGCATCGAATTGAACCAAATGGCCTTTTTATCCACATATCTGTTGACCATCATTTCCCAACATGACATGTGAGCTTCCTGGACAAAGTAGTGGTTATAAACAAAGCCTAGTTTAGCTATATAAAGGAGCATCTTCCAACAGCCAAGTTAAACCTGGCCGTTAGTAAAGACTAGGTTAAACTAGGTGGAGGAAACGCTGGGTTAAATGACTCCATTTCCTTTTGGCGGCATGGATTTGGATCAAGGTTTTTCACAACCCGTCCGGCGGGTCGATTTGTTAGCGAGTTGCACGGTCACCAGTTTGAGATGGAAATTTGTTGTAAAACTGCGAAGCCCCGAATTGAAGCCTCGTTTTCAATGTCCACTTTTTTCGCTGTTGCTTGGGGAGAGCCTTGAGGCTTCCGATTCAAAAAAAAGTGTTGACACGAATATGTTGATATGGTTTGTTTTTATTTACGCATGCATTCGCATCCCAAGCAATACCTCGCAGATTCGCGTGATAGGTAACCAAAGTTTGGTCAGTGCAACTAGGTTCGGGTGTTTTGGACATTGTAACACATGTTCTTGTGACTTTGACTTTGGTATGTGATCATGTCCGAACCACAATGCGTGTATATATATATATAGATATAATATGATATGTGCGTAAATACTTGTTACCATATATTGCATATAAAAATATTATCTCAAATTTCAATCTTCCCAAACCTGACTATGTCCAATTAGAAGTGCGATGTGTGTATGTTATACCTGTCGCATCACCAAATGTGTTTCCAACGAAATTTATCCAATTTCTGTTCACAGATACAATCATTGAGTTGGTTAAAATTGTGCAAACACTATTTCGCTCTAAAAAAACCCACTGAGAAACCATCTGAAGTTTCGGGCGTTACTTGGTTTTCCGTGCTGCAACTCAAGAAACTCTGACTACTTAGCCCTCTTAGCCGGTTGGGGATAGACCTCTTTCGGGTCTGCTGGTACACCATGAACCATTTAGCAAACCCCCATGGGGCCATCCAGACTAGCCAGGTGAGGAAAGTGCGAGCGCGGCAACGAGACCGTCCGAAAGCCAAGGACATGCTAAATATGCTAAACGTTGGAAACCTGGGAATTATGAGGTAAAAGTATGTAAAAATCATCTATCTACAGCATCCTGGAATCTGGAAAGGTTTTTCATTGTTTTAAGGAACCCCAGTTTGCTCAAATCATATCGAATACCTCATGTGTTGTATAATCAAGTAGCGTTTGAAAGTTTAGGGACACCCCTTGCCTGGATAAATTGAAGGGTTGCAAACACTACCGTTGATGCATTGAGGAAAGGTTTCTCACTTAAGGGACATTGGACATGTCTGTTTCATTCAAATAGTCAATTATCTCACCAAGTTATTACACATATTTGTATATAAATACATATAAATATAAATATATAAATACATATAAATAACATATATGTACACGTACATGTACCCGTTCCATGGTGTATGTAGCTCCATATTGAGCCACATTCTCAAAGATTTCATGTTTGTGATCGGTGATCCCCAAACCCCCTTCAGGTGCGGCAATTCCTGGGACACAAGGTGGTGCCCCCTCATTTGTGGTTGTTGCTTTGTAAGGTTTTGATGCACATGATGTGCAGTAGGAGATGTGAAGATCGATTGGTGGCAGTGTCTTGATTCAAATCTGAAAAGCCCACTGCACCCACCTCTTGGGCTGATGCAGTGGCATGGCATTCGTGACTGGCATCGCTGCCTTTTAGTCCTTTTGCCTGTTGCCACCTGCAGGCACTCACAGCCCTTGGATGAAAAGAATGGTACAATGCACCAAGAGTGAATCAGCATGTCTATAGATATCTACCACAAAATTATGGATATGTAGCAAAATTGTAGATGTGAACCCCATGAATTATAAATATCTAGCAGAATGGATAGTTATTGGAGTTATATAAGAGTTCGCCAACTAAAGGGCAGCACGTTGATATGACCCTCGAACATCGCAATGGTGACGACTGGGGATCCCCCATTTTAAGAAATCCCCATACGTCGATATCAATGGTTATTGCGACCAACATTTTGATATCACATATATGTCAGTATGTGTCTTACTTTTGATTCAGGTTGATACATTGGCCTTCTGTTCCTACTGGGTCCTAGCTACCAATAAATTGGATATTAGTCCATATCCAGTTAATTACCGCCAAACACATATATCCATACAACCAAAATGACTCAATATTTAAAAAAACATGAAAACCAATGTCCCTGTAACCATTTTTGGCCTGAGGTCACAACAGCCTTGGTTTGCCGATCGTGTCATTAGCTCGGAGCCACAGATTGTTTTTTCGGTTCTTCAACATTTGGTTGCGGGTTAAGTTAAAATCACCAATTGCGAGCCCAGGGTTTGATATTGCAAAACCATTTGGTGTTTTTTGGTCTGATTGTTTGGTTGATATACCTTTGAGCCATTCCGAAATGATGGATTCATTTTGAAATATGCAGACAACATCAACTTTATCGCCGGACACACGTAAAAACCGGTCATAAAGAAAGTTATGATGAAGAGTATCCAGAAGATTCGCGGTTGTCAATGCAAACATATGTATCAGTCATATGAATTTGATACAACAAACATGGGGAACTTAACAAACACACGTGGGGATACATAGTGTGAAAATCAATCCAAAAGTTTGGAATACGAGGAAGTCTTGCAGAATAGCTTCATTTTCAATCTTGCAGATAGACAGATAGGCAGACAGACAGACAGACAGACAGACGGACAGATAGATAGATAGATAGATAGATAGATAGATAGATAGATAGATAGATACACAACTACAGCTCACGTGGGTGCCCTGTGGGTGCAATGCATCAAGGACAACATGGCCAGGAACGATGCCAGTGCGCCAGCTCAATTCAAATGGTATCCGCTCATGGAGTTTGCAAACTGGCTTCCAATCACCTACTTGAATTTGCCTGCCGAGGAGAAGACACCTGTGGAAGGAAGTTGTCTTCTTTTTTCTTCCAACATGTTCACACACGGATCGATGAAATTGCGGCAGCATCGGTCCCATGGCACCCGCGTGGTGCTGTTGGCAGACTTTACAAACAAAGTGGGCGCTGAAGACTGGACTCTTGGAACTTTGGCTTTCAGCAGCAAGCACGATGACAAGGGAAGTCAGCTCCCTGCTAGTGAGGCCATTCCGGTCGCGTTCCTTTGGTGTCCTACGGAGTCAGCCAGATCTTATCAAGCCAGCCTCATCACGTTCATCGAGCAATTCCGACTACCACTACTACTACACTAAACTACTACTACAATTACAACTCCAAATGCAAATGCAATATACTACGCTACCTTGCACTACACTAATTACACTACACTACACTACACTACACTAATTAATTACACTAATTACACTCATTACACTAATTACACTAATTACATTAATTACACTAATTACACTCATTACACTAATTACGCTAATTGCATTAATTACGCTAATTACATTCATTACATTCATTACACTAATTACCTAACTACACTAATTACACTAATTAATTGCACTAATTGCACTAATTACACTAATTACACTAATTACACTGATTAAACAGCAACAACAACAGCAACAACAACAACAACGACAACAACAACAACAACTACTACTACTCCTTCAACAACAACGACAACTACTACAACAACAACAACTACTACTACTACAACAACAACAACTACTACTAGTACTACTACCACCAACACCACCACCACCACCACGACTACTACTACTACTACTACTGCTGCTGCTGCTGCTACTACTACTACTACTACTACTACTAGTCCTAGTAGTCCTCCTACTCCAACTCCTGCTACTACTACTACTGCTGCTGCTGCTGCTACTGCCACTGCTACTGCTACTACGACTACCACAGCTACAACTACAATGACAACTACATTACATTACACTGCACTACAACAATTACACTGCAGCACACTACAGCCACAAATACACATGCAACTACAACTAAATTACATTACACAGCACTACACTACACTAATTAACATACATTACACTACAACTACAACTACCACTACATTACACTGCACTACATTACACTACACTACAACTACACTACTTTACACTACACTAGACTACACTACACTATACCACACTACAGCACACAACACTACCAGCACACTACACTACACTACGCTACACTACGCTACGCTATTTACACCACACCACCACTACAACTGCAACAGAAACTGCAACAGACTACACTAATTGCACTACATTACAGCTACTACTCCACTACGCTACCCTACAACTACAACTACAAGTCACCACACTACATCCAGCAGTTGTGGTGACGTGACCACTGCAACCATTGCAACCACTCCGAAAAACACAGCTCCAACCACCTTTCGGTCCATCAGTGGATTCGCTCTGCCATCCATGCATCACAACAACTCACCGCCACCGCCTTGTGCGGCACTATTGGTATTAAGCATAGTAGTTAACTGTGAAAGGACATGGATATTTATACAAGTGATCATACACGGATTATTTTTAACCACAATAATTAGGGATTGCGGCATTTAAAAAGAAACGTTTTGTTGGCCCATGGAGGCTTGCCTGGTCTTCCTGCGTCTCGTCAGGTGGGTTACACCAACGCTGGAAAGTGCGGCCCTTGGACCATGGGAGATGCATTGAATTCTGGAGGTGGCTGATCATCGGTGAAAAAAAATGGCTGACCCAGTGTCCCCATCTCAAACAGGTTTTTTCATGGATTTTGTATTCTGCATTGTAGTGTGTTACTAGGGATTATCAGATGAGTTGTGACCAGCAATCAGAATTGCTGGACGAATTTAACGACCTCCCGGGAAGATCATGAGCTGAGACCCCATCGAAAACTGTGGCATTGGTTGATAAAGGGTCATACTTTGCCCAACAAATTCGGGATTATTACTCGCCATGAACTGGGAATCTCCACTCCTCATGTGGGAAAATTGGGAAATGGTGATGGAAGGATATTTTTTATTATGCACTGTCTTAAATGACCGGCACATGCGCATTGTAACTTAGAACCCATTCTGACCCATTATGATTACAACAATCCATTGTATCACCCCATTGTAACAACCCACTACAATAGCCCAAGTCGAACCCATTTCAACCCATTTCAATGATGGGTGAAATGTTTCCAGATTTCCTTTTTATGTATGTTTCACAGACCGGAAACTTTCCGACCTACCGGCTCCAGGTCAACCTTGATGAACGCCTTGGCACAAAACACCGAGGCCGTGGGTTGACCTTGGACGGACCTTGGATCCTTGGGAGGACCTTTTTAAATGGAGGAATGGATCATAGTCCACAATAGAAACATCTATAGGTATAGATCTATTGTGATCTATTATGAATGATCTATTGTGAAAACATATAGACTGATGATCTATTGTGATCCACAAGAAACTAGAGTGATGATCTATTGTGAAAACATATTTTGGAATAGATCATTATCCATGGTGAAAATGATCGTGTTCACATACAACTATGTTTGTTTGGGGAGCGTTGTATCTTACTGCAATGATTTTAATGAATTTGGGCGATTTTAAGGACATGTTTGAACGATCTTGGACGACTTTTCCGGGCGACCAAATTCCTAAACATGATGGTTAGATATGGTTAGTCAAGGACAGGAACCGCAAATAACGGGTGTGTCACCTCTTGCCTTCTTTAAACATCTCTAAAATGGATTAAAATGGATCTGTGAAATATCAAGATCAACATCCGAATTCGAAGGTGGCAATAATGAAGGAACTGATTGAACTCATGGGTGGCGTGTCCAGTCTTCAAGATCTTCAAGGTCGTGCGCCAGTGAAAAACGCGAAGTTGAGATCTACATGACTCCAAAAAATGTTGATTTTATGGTAGAATATGATAATTGCATCACATGTATGCATATATTATATTTTATTATATTATATTATATTGTATTATATTGTATTATATTATATTATATTCTATTATATTATATTATATTCTATTATATTATATTATATTATATTGTATTATATTATATTATATTATGGTATATTATATTATATTATATCGTATTATATTATCTCTAATATTTATACAATAGTTGTTGTGGTGTTTTTAAACAACAAACTTTTACCTCAGGGGCACCACGGGCACCACCTAGTGTTTTCGGAGGGTCAACCAATCCATACCCGAGCTTTCAACTCTCCCTGTCTCAGGTGAAAGCAAAGGTAAGAGCCTCAGGAGTTTGACTGACACAGCCTTAGACATTGGAAATTTACCGGCATTTCTACCAAGAAAACACCTATTCTGGCTGACTTTTTTCACAACACAGCGACGTCACCAAAGATTATGATTGAGTTTTGAGGGAGCTTGGCTAGGCTCAAAGACTTGGCTCGAAGCAAAAGAATCCCTTTCCCCAAATGTGAATGTCCATTGGACACCCAAAATAAATAGATCCAGCAGGACGCACGGGTTTTGGTTGGGCATTTCATGTTAGGGGTTTTATATTATGGTTTTATGTTTATTGGGTGATTGTTCCACGAAAAAATATGTTTTTGATTTTCCGAGGATATACAAATTGGAATTCCCTGGTTTACTGATTATTAGGCTAGCCATGGCTACCCCAAAAAAATGTTCCACTCAAATTAGGGCTAGCCATGGCTACCCCCAAAACCCAGGTTTTCCTGATTTTCGCCAAAACCTCGGCGCCTAGGATCGACTCTTTGAAACCCTGGACCCAACGAGACGCTCCGTGACATGGCCAGGTGGGAACGGACGGAGAAATGTCCCGGGAATTTTTTCGTGAGAAAATTTCGGTGTTTACCCTCTGGTTATGTCAAAATAGCTATTGAAAATGGCCATTTATAGTGGATTTAACCATTAAAAATTGTGATTTTCCATAGTTACGTTAGTTTACCAGAGGGTATCATGATGTTCCATGATTTTCCCAACGATTTTCCCCATGTTTTTTTTGGGCTGTTGGGGTATGCTTCATTTTCGTGCACACCCACCTATATTTGCCTATATGACTGGCTGATTTTTTGGGTACATTAATTACATTTTAGAACTACTTTACATGGGGCACTTGGGGTTGGTTTTTCACTTGTTTTGGTGAAAGCTGGGCAGTTTCAGCAACTCAAATGGTCATATAACCAATGCTGGGGAAACTGCAAGGTGAATGCTAGGTTTATTCAATTTGGATAATTCTTGAGCCATTCAGATGCATTTTTTTGCCTGGAAAGTAACCATTCAGTCCCTTTTTTTGGCACCCAGCTGCTTGTTGGTTAGCATTCCGAGTCTGTTGAGCCACTATTTGCTGCTGCGTATGAGTTTGTATCTATGTGTTTGGGTTGGTAAGTAACTCCGACTGTGCCACTGTTCACGGTTGTTTGGAATTGACTCTTAATTTACTTGGCTGGCGGTTTCATTTTTGAATATGTTGTGGATGTCTCCGCCCCTATAACTGGGATATTTTGGGATATCTTAGCATATGACTTTACGCTACATCCATGTGACTTGAGATATCCCAGCCTGCAGTGATATGCAGTGATAGCGCAAGCGACAGGTGGTCGCACAGTGATGTTGGCAGATACCGCTGGTAGACCCAGTTTGGGGATGGGTTGGTGTGAACATCAGGCTACCCGAGCTGGTCATTTACCCTCTGATACCCTCTGGTTATGTCAAAATAGCTATTGAAAATGGCCATAGAAATACTTGATTTACCCATTCATAATGGTGATTTTCCATGGCTATGTTAGTTTACCAGAGGGTAACATGGCGAGCTGGAAATTCCTAACTTTTAAACAAACAAATTCTCTGTTGCCGGGTGAAATTTGTGGAGGCTACCAGCGAAGCTATGAGATACTGCTATCTCAAGGTCAATTGATCTTGCACTAAGAACAATGTCACCCTTAGTCAAGTATTTTTCGGCCACATGGTTAGTTCGGGGTTTGTTCGAAAATAGCCAGGGCCCTTTATCATGCCCATGGGACATTCCTATAAATGGATATGTCAATGGGACAATCAACAATCAACGGTGGATTTTCAATTGCCAGTTGATTGATTCTCCAGGAAGTATTCTGCTCATGATAAGATTGACACTTTGGGGGTATAATGTACAGTATAAGCACTACGAAGCAATCGAGATATGGCAATTTCAATAGATTTTACCGCGGGATTGAGGTTTAGAACCCTTGGATTTTCGAGGTACCCATAGGTACCCCATCAATCTTCGGACAAAGCCACATGATATTGTAAGCAACTATCACTATCAACAGTTGTTTGATCCGTATTCATGCCAATGCTGATGTATAAGAACAAGAACTGTCAACATATCAACAAGTATATTGAGATCAATTAACATCAATTACCATCAATTACCATCAATTAACGTTAATTTTAACCAATCTATGGTCAAGCCATTGACCAACCAAGCTCATCTCACCATCCAGGTGGGCTTTATTCAGAGGCCAGCCGCTGTTGGAACTCCCCTTTTTGGGGAAAAGTTAGTTCCACTTACAAAATATCACAGAAATGATGCTAATCCGATGGAGGTAAGCCAGAAGTACTGGAACTTCTCCTTGCAAATCGAGGTAGACATCGATCGCAGCCTGAGCAGTGACCTGACCAAATGAAGTGTTCAAATTCTGTGTAGTACGGGAACTCCGACCAAAATGTTAGGTAAATGAAAGTTGCCCCGAAATGAAGGAAACATTCGCAGGAATCACCTCGATTTGGGGGTCGAAACCATGTTCATATCCACGATTGACATGGGAGAACCATATGCTTGACCCATCTATCATCATCTATTTGCATATATTTTTATCTATTTGCATCTATTTGCCTCTTTCTTGGTATGTCAAAGTCTCCACATGCTTACATGAAATTTCCCAACAACATGGTGGTAACCAAGAGACGTAGCCTGGAGGGATATTTTAGGATACCATTCTTATGTAAACAGAGCAAGAATGATAAATATCAAGTCTGGTGATATATACGTGTATATATACCTGTATCTTCCAAAGGGCCTGAATTTCAGCCTGACCTCAAATATCAGCCTGCGGCGGAAACTGAAAACTCAGGCGGAAAGTGACTTTATCCATATTTTGAGGTATTCTGATAAGATCCTGGTGGACGATCCAGGTGAAAAGAAATGCTCTGTGGGTGATGTTCGCCGTTTTTTTATTCTGGTTTTTAATTTTTATATTTTTTTTTCGGGCGGAAACACTCACGAAACGGGCGAAAACACCCACGAAACAGGCGAAAACACCCGAAACGAGATTTTCATGTAAAACAGTAAACTTCTTTAACACTGTTATCAACAATATATCAATAATATATAGTGTGAGCGGGCATCTTAACCAAACATCATCAAGATCACTAAAAAACACAATCGGGCAGAACAAGAACACCCCAGGCGAAAAGAATCCATTCGGGCTGAAATTTCAGCCTGAACAGCTTCGGGCTGAAAAAGCGGCCTGCGGAAGGCCTAGGTATACATACATTACTGGTTGGTGGTTTCAATCATGGCTTTTATTTTCCATTTCATATATGGGATGTCATCCGAAACCCCATTGACGAACTCCTATTTTTCAAGATGGTTATTGCACCACCAACCAGATTAATATTGAACATGTTTAAACATTGTGTCAACAAAGAAACTGGATGACTTGTAATGACTTCACGACAACGTCACGCTAAATGATGGCTACTAATGGGAATTCAGAAAAATGACCATCCCAATAAAACGAGGTGCTGACAACCAGTTGGACTGAAGTTTTTAGCATCTTAGCCAAGTGGACTCTTTGAAAACTCCCATGAAAACTACCATCAACTCCCATTCAATCACCATTTGAACTCATTAATTAAATCACCATTAGAATTGGATCTCATTAAATCACCATTAGACCTCATCACATCACCATTTAACTCTAGTTAAATCACCTTTAAATCATTTTAAATCCCAGGAAATCCACTAATCCCAGGAAATCCACTTAAATTCCATGAAATCGCCATAACTTTGCTGTTCAAATTCTCTTTTCTTCACTGTCAGGCTTCCCGAACAGCTGGTGGCGGGCTTTCGCGCCACTTTAGAGGAGGTGGTTGAGGCTATGGCGGCTATGCGGCCATGGACAGGTGATTTTCCCCAGCAGAAACCAGAGCAAAACATGGGATTTCGATGGGATTTAGATGGTTACTGATTGGTGGTTTCAAACATTTTTTTCCATAATATGTGGAATAATCCTTCCCATTGACTATTATTTTTGAGAGGGATTGAAACCACCAACCAGGTTAAGTTGAGGCACAGAACTTGGTTGATTTGACTTGAACAAAGCCAAAGACGGTTTATTTTTCTGGAGTTGCATCTGGGACTTTGTGCTTTGCCGGGTCGCTCTTGAAGCCGCCACAATTTTGGTGAAATCTTCAAATTTAAATTCTCCCAAGACAGAAATCCTAAGTTTTGTTGATTGTTTTCAGGGGTTGGTAACTGTCCCATTTTGGGAATATTGGACATCACCTTATAGTAGCCATTATAGACCATATACCGAATGGTTGGGTGATGTTCAATGGGGACATTTAATGACCCATGTTTTTCTAGTTTGAATTCTATGAATTCTCGGTGATTGACAAAAAATTGACTCCTAAATCTCCGACCGGCCACACCGCCACCAGCGCAGACCGACCTGATTCTCCATGTGGTCGATGTCTCTTCCCCCACTGCGGCTCAACAGGCCGGCCGTTGTTGGCCTGAAGCCAACATCCAACAACTATACAGGGATATAATACAGGGATATAACATGATATAACATGATATAAGAGGATAAATATGTGTATGTATATATATATATATATGTATAGTTATATTCAATATCAACATTATATATATAATTATATTCAATATCAACATATTATATATATACACATACACTATATATATATATATATTACATAAACCACCAATTTAATTTTCAGATATTTGGACTATGTCTTAATTTGTACACCCAACCCATGTTTTGCAGTGGATCCAATGGATGTTTTTCTTGGCTATTCCCATAGACTTGACCGACCCCTGCCTGTTGTATATAGGATTTGGGGGTCCAAAGTTGATTGGAACTCCACATACCCTCTGGTAAACTGTCACATAACTATGGAACATCACCATTTTTAATGGGAAACCTCACTATAAATGGTGATTATCCATAGTTATGTTAGTTTACCAGAGGGTATGTCGCAGAACCAGTGTTTTTTTGCACTTCAAGTCCAAGTTCTTTCTTCTTTCTTTTCTGGCAGATAATTTTGTGTTCAAGTTTCAGAAACAGACCACAAGTTGCAAGTTCATTGGGAAAATGCTGATGAATTATCCAATTTATTCTTGGGTACCACATTGTCAGAACACAGGTGGAAAGTGCAGCGTGTGACACTGAGGAATCGATCATGCGGCATCATGCGGCTAGCACAGAGGAGCCTTCTATCCCCAAGATTCTTCTTATAGCCACCAATGTTTTTTTGGTCATAACATATTTCTTTCCAAAACGGATTGTAAACTCTTATTTGCCTGTTTTGCTCACGTGTTTGCTTATGGTTCTTTCATACAGGTCGCATCTCTAGTGGCAATATGAAGCAATCAAAATCCAGGTCCAGGTTAGTTTCTTGATTTGGTAGGAAAATCTCAAGGAAAACGTGTTTCGTCCCATCAAAATCCGCATTTCCCTTAGATATCCCATAAATGTTTGAGCCAATTCTCCATTTCTTATAACCTCAAGTAGGAATTCCTATCATGGCTTAACCAATCATAACTAATTAATCACTAAAAAAATCACTGTTCTTTTTTGGAATGCCGCAATGCCTAATTTCTTATCATAGTATCGCCAATGGGTGGAATCTCCGCCAGATCGCCAGCGTTTTGAAGACTCTGAAGCGGCTGCCGCACTTTAAGCCGCAGCACTGGCAGAAGTTGTGACGATGGCGGCGACGATTTTTTCTGCGATGGTGGGTGGAAGTTGCTGCCATATGGGGCTTTCCATAGTCATGGGGGGATCCCCGGTCGCGAGCATTGGATGGTTTATTAAAAATGGAACATCCCAATCTAGCTGGATGATCTTTCGGGGTACCCCCATGAATCAAGGAAGACCTAGATATTGGATGATATTGGTGCACCAAACATTGGGACTAACCATTAACAATAGATGGTTTCAGATATCTATGAATCGTTATAACCATTTGGGTATATCTGAAAATGGGGGATACAACAAATTGGCCATCAGCGAACGTGAGATAAACTCCATCAATTGTTGAAGTACAATACTTTTTGATATTTTCGGACAAGCCATTCATGGACCATTCATACCTCATTTTGTGGCTATGTTTTGGCTGACTAGAGCGGCTAGAAACCATGGTGGCTGTGGGTCAACATCACAGATCTCAGTTGGCGAGTGATTTTCTCATTCAAAAAGCCAACCATTCACCCAGAAATCATCCGCCCAGAAATATGTGGTAAACTCACTCATACACATACCCCATGTTGTAGCCTTGATAGATCTCCAATTAGACTCGGGGCTCTTTCTGGGTTTACCACACTAAAAACATGCCCTACACAGATGGGGCATCCGGGCAGGAACTGCCTCAGAACAAGCCAACCCGACAGCCACCTGAGACTGGCTGCCAGGAGTACGCCGCAAATCATGGTCTACAATAAGATTGACAAATTGGAAGGTTGGATCCTTGTGGCCGACGGATGGGGTGTTTTAAAAAAACTGTAGTGGCAGGCAAAGAAGTTGAGAAAGCAGATAAAACTATGTGTAAACACATAAATTGTAGTGGCTCGTGATGTGAGATGTGATTTGTGATGCGGATCATGTATTCCTCCTAATTACCAACATGGTGAGAAATCTCTCACCGACTGTTGATATCTGTGGTGTCATCATTCAAAGGCCCCCTTGGCCCTTTTCAAATGGATGCTATTCAGTAGAAGAGGCAGTTCGGAAACGAAGGAGCAACCATCTCCACTGAGGTAGCCCAAAATGGAAACTGTTGGTGATATTTTGCACTAAAATATATTATACATATTCCTCAACACATAGAAAACAACAACATAAAATAACATAATTGGATTGGGCATTTGTTGTTTTCTAATACTACTTTTAGAAGGGCGCAGGGTGTCTTCTACTCAACAACCCCGTCCCACACCGCACAGCACAGAAAAAAAGGGAACACCTATGTTTTCATATGTTTTTCTTGGACCCATTCAACTAATTATTCAGACACCGCAAAAAAAAACCGCAAAAAAATAAAATCATTTAGCCACAGAAACTCTGAAAAGTAGCCCGTTTTTCATGGATGGATTCCCCAGAGATGAAGAAATTGCGGTGTATGGTGTATTCTGATGATTCCGCAATTCTCACGGCACTTGGCTACGATTGTTGGTTGGCTACGAAATATTGCTGAAATATCATGAAATACTTACTGGTGCTAAACGCAGGGAATTTTCGGGAATGATCCACAATAACTATCAATAAGCATCCCATTCCCCCATTCCCATCCATTCCCTACTAAGCACCAGTAAGAATGTTCATTGAAATGTCTCCGCAGTTTCCTAAGACCATTTGGTACATGATGTCACCATGCAGAGTTCCAGCTTTTTTCAGAAGAAAACTCCGAACTGCATTGAAACAAACTTTCAAAGTCATCACGAATCTGGAATCATCATCCAAGAAAAATATAGAAAAATTGTTTTCCATCTATATCATCATACTAATATCGGATTGCCTGAACATGGAATAGCCCCCCCAATTCCACGTTTCATTGTCATTTTGGAGTGTATATACCCAATTTTTGGACAACGCCATTCATCATACAAGGTGATGCCCAATAGTTGGCAATAGTTGCTTTACAACTACAGTAACTAGGGATTGTGGCAAATAATATTTATATATATATATAAACATACATACATATATAAATATATATAATATATATATATATATATATACACCAGTAGTTATGATTATGGTGATGTACTTCGTATTACATAATATTTTGTATGCATGATGGGCAAAAGTTGGGCAAATTGCCATTGAGGGATGGTCATCGATCCATCACAAAGGCTCAAAGCAGTCCCATTGTAAGGATTCCCATTGTGGGATATATGACCGTTAACACATACCCTCCAGTAATTTAACGTAGCTATTGAAAATGGCCATTAATAGTGGATTTTCCCATTAATAATGGTGATTTTCCATAGCTATGTTAGTTTACCAGAGGGTATACAGACTATATCCCCATGTATGAAACCTGCCCTATGGATCCAAAATCTTCGGAATTGGAAGGTTTAAAGCCCCAAATTATAGCCCAAAGACTTCTTTCAAGGTATATACTGGACATGGATCCATAGGGCTTGCTTGATTTGTTGTGTTCTGCTCTCAAAACTCTCGGAAGATCACTGGTTCCAGGTGGCAAAGCCGAAGAACTTGAGCAAAGCCAAGGGGCTCAGAACTTCGAAAGTTGATGATTCCTGCGGGGATTATACTATCAAGTATATGGGGATTACCATAAAACCCACTATGGGAATCCCTATTATCCAACCAACCAGTATTTACATGTATTTACTGAAGATGTCCTTTTTGTTTTTTCCCCCTGGGAAATCCACTACGACTGGAGAATCTGTTGGGAATATCTAATTTTTGGTTCAGCAATTTCAAGTTGAAGATTAAAGCATGATAAAGAACAGCCGGCAGGCCGGCAAATAGCCAACAAACAAGGGATCTTTAATGATGTTTAGAATGGGATGTGGAACTGATTTTTGATATGATTTGGGTCATTGGGGTCTGTCTGAAGATTGGGTGTACCCGCAAATGGCCCTCTTAAATAAATTGGGAACATGATAGTTGCAGCAACCAGTGGATGGCATGGGGTATCCTATTTTCCGTCAAACCCACTTGATACATAAGATCTGAGGAAACTTGCAATTGGTGGTTTAGCCTGCAATTGACTGAACATGTTGATTTAAGTATAGATACTTGGCGACCCCCACCGTCTCAAACAAATCCTGCCACACACTGCAGATTAGGTCGTGTGTGGAGGTAGTGTTGATAGACCTTGTCCTCGCCTTGAGTAGTCCTAAGCAAATTTGCCTAAGTGGATAAATGGGCATGCAAAATCAGTTGCATCAATATCAAAACTGTAGTCAAAACAATCGCTGAATCCCCGTAGGGCACTTGCAAAACACGGCGAAGCTGGAAAAACACGTTTTTTTCGCATTGCAGGTACGTCGGAAAGGCGTCCCTTTCCGATATCACAGGTCATTGCAAGTGTCTTTGTTAGTGCCAGACTTGCACTGATCCCTGGCACCCCCTGCAGTTCACGAGTTAGCAATTGAACTGTTATTACCTGTTTGTTATAAATAACAGGATGCAGACACATGTTGAAATACTTTGCAACATAGAATGTGTGGAGCCTTACGTTTATTCAGAATTATTCGTGCAGTTTCTGACAGATATTATGCTTATATCAATCATACTGGTATTATATACTGGCATATTTGCAGACAATTCTCCTGACGCATATTCTGCTATATCTTGTCAGATATGTTCTGGCAGAATCCCGAAACACCGGTGGATAAAAGCATTTCATTGGACCTCCCCCGAAAACAGGAATGATGATGTCACTTGAAGTTCCTCCAGTAGTCAAACAGGGCTGGATGACTGGATGTGTCCCATTTCAAAATCTTTCAAGTGGATGATGTTGACTATGTTCCTACAAAAAAACGTTGGAATTCCCAATCAACTATGTGATGTTTACCAGAGGGGTACTAGCATTGACGATTCCAGTGCTCGCTACGCCTGAGGTTTAAGCTATCCTCATCCCGGAATCATCGGACACGTCCAGGTACAACCTCCCAAAAAATTTCCCCTGACATTACATATCCACCCAAATATATATATATATATATACATACACACGGTATATACATATACATATATATGTATATATATTTATTTATGACATATTCCCTTGTTGGTGGTTTCGAGCGTGTTTATTGTCCATCCGACCTGAGACAATGATCCGTTTTATCTCCTAATGGAGTTAAACTCAATTTTTCTGTGTTTGGGATGGATTGGGAATCACCAAAAGGACCCCACAAATCCAAAGGTCGATCATCATCTCCTTTGTTTCATGGCCATAACATGGAAGCCCATCCCCAAGTTTTGGAATCCGCTGGTCATGGCCATGAAGTTGAAGTCAGGAGACGGCCATGACCAGAGTTGAAGTCAGTCCGAATCAAATTGTCAAAGCAATCCTGGCCCAGAACACAAATATATACTTATCTCATCCATTTTTATCCATATTTGTTTGGGTTGCATTTCAGCCATCGAGGACAAAACAAGTGCTGATATGTATTTATATGTTCAATATTGCTCTAGGAAAATCCAAGTGGTCATCCAAAACTGGTGAGATTTCATGAGATTTCACAGAGGAACATCCATGGTTTCGGGAGAAACCACCTTATTTATTTGACCGCGAGTGCTCAGCTTGGATGTAAATCCAACAGGATTGTTATGTCATTCTGTACCTTGTCATTGTTCAATGTTTCTATCAATTTAGACTACAGCGATACCCTGCAGATTCAGCTGAGTTAGTCAGTGTTCAGCGTCGCGGTGTCGCCAGGTGTCGGCTTTGCAGGGCATTGGCTTTACGGCTTTGGCAGAGGCGTCCAAAAAGGGTTTGGGGACCGATCCCGGATCCCAAGAGGGCACCGGATCCCTCAACGCACACTGAAAGCGGACTGGAAACCATGGCCCTATTGAAAGTATAGATGATTCATGATGATTCACTTATTGTAAATGATGATTTGTGATCTTCCATAGCTAGTAAAATTATGTCAACACTTACCAGAGGATAGCAGGTACTACTACTTTTTACACATTGTTACCCTGCCCATTTGCACGGTGAGGACAGGGAGGATGTCGATGAAACTTTTCCGGAAGTCTTTGGTTTCAGGGGACATGTTCTTGTAGTTGCAGGATATATATATATATGTACTGTATATGTATGTATATTTGTTGTATGGATATACTTTACATATATATATACACATATATACATAGTTAATCATAATTATATATATATAATATTGTATATATGTGAGGGCAAAGAGAGGTTAAAAGATCACATGTGTCTGATCTGATGTGACCAATTCACTAATAAATTGTTGGAATGTCGCAGATCACCTGGGATTTGACAGTGAAAATCACCTCATCAAACTCTGCCACTGGCCATGATTTACCTTTGGTCAACAGGTGCCTCACTTTGGATCATGGTTTAAGGCCCAGTCTAGGGAGACATTCACTGCCATCAATGCTTAAATGCTTAAGGAGTTTGTTTCCAGCTGGGTTTCAAGAAGGTTGTAGCATCCCACAAAAAGATATAACAAAATGGACACCTGAAAATTATCCGAAAAACAACATCGAACTGTACCATGCTGGAAGTACTTGTCTTTGTTTCTCAGGCTTGCTATACATCATTATACATTATACATCTAGGAAATTAAGACCAAAGATGTCACAAGGTCAAAATATCTTGTCTCCCCCCAAGTTATGGAACCATGTGAAACCTCTAGGATCAGTACCCTCTGGTAAACTAACATAACTATGGAAAATCACCAATTTTTAGTGGTTAAATCAACTATAAATGGCCATTTTCAATATGTTAAATTACCAGAGGGTAGCACAATCACTACTTGTAGACAGCTGCAGGCCATTGAGGATACCTTGATCAAACACACAGACTTCGGAGCGAACCGATTGAAACTGTTGGTCACTTGGCACATTTCTCGCAGGGCGTCACGTGGTCAGAGGTTTCAAACGGGCGGGGCAGTGGCTGGTGGTGACTTCTTGGGGATTTGTAGCAGCATGGCCAATCTGCAAAGGGCCAATGGCAGGAATCTTTATGAAACAATCATTAGTAGGCCATTGGCAGGCAATTTAAAGATTCCCCTGTTTCATCCTGTTTCATATTTTTCCATGGCCTCTGGGGATTTCCACGATTGACTCCTAGTGTGTTGAGTCCATCGATCTTTGTGGCTGTTTGTTTTGCACAAATTGCTTCTCCGTTGACCATTGAAGAACGGGGGAACGTGAGGTTCCAAAATCATTCGGTTTGGATGTAACTTGATGTAACCATGTGATACTATGTGTAACCCTATTATCTCTCAATTTCAATTCGACATTGGCATTTTTCGAAGATACCGGTGGATAGCACCCATGTCCCTTGGACGTCGTTGCCCAGATACCTTATGCGGACTCTGCTCTTTATTCGCAGATGCATCTTGATCGATTTGAATGGATGGGTTTCCGGATGGGTTTCCGGATGGGGTTTCATGCCAAATCTTCCTCAGCTCGCTTCACATTTGTCTCAAGTCTTCATTGGTTACTATGAAACCACGATTTCGGGGTGTTTAATGAACAGGGGAAGAGATTAGCGTGGATGTATCATTTGGGTGATATCAAACGTGATTCATGCCACAATTGGGTAAGTGAAAATCCAACACAATCTCTCTGTCATCCATACCAACAGGGTTAGTTTCAAGCAAGGAATTCAGATCGCTCCACACATGGCATACCCATATCTGATTTGAAGGCCACTGGCTGATAGTGAGTCATGTGGATAATTCATAATAATCCAACACATTGCAAATCCATTTGCAGTAACAGATTCACCTACTGCCATACTCATCCTCTGAATATTCTAGAATTCTAGATATGTGTAATCTATTTGCAGTAAATATGAGTGGTTTTCGCCCAGCAAGTCCATCGACTTGTCTACCAAAAACCTTTAAGAAAATGGAAATCAAGTGCCTCCATTTTAGTAGGATTCTACTTTTCTATGTCTATCTTTTTGGGGCTAACAAATACTCAACAAATACTCATACAGTGTCTTTCTCTAATATGCTATATTCATCCCCTTACCAGTTTCCGCCAGAAAGTCTAGGGGGTCAACCCCCCTGTAAGCCTTCATTTCCTAGTCATCCCAGGTTTGTATTCTGGGGATCGGCTGCTTTCATAGGGGCCTTAATTTTCTAGCGTGGCTATTTTAAGCACCTCAAAGTTGACAGAGCCTAACTTTCTGGCGCGGAAGATGCGGATTTTACGGACCCAATTTTGGGGAGTCAGCCTATGAATTTCTAGTGGGCTCTGTCTTTCTAGTTTAGTTGAGTTAGACTTATGTTTCTGAATACTGGTTCCCTTTTCCTTAGGAATAGTGGCTAATGATAGGTATTAATGGTGAATAATGGTTGGTTAATGAAATTCCTGGGATTGCAAAAAATACTATTGAACCCAAAAAAAGCTGGTTTTGTGGTTTTGAAATAGGAATTACATACCAAAGTTTGGATCTAAAACCGTATCGGTGTTCCATTGTTTGAACCCTAGCAATCCTGGGGATATTCGGAAAATATCTGGGGTTTATCCGGGTAGGATCTGACTAATCCCTTCTTCCTATTGCTAAAACTCCCCCAAATAAAAAAAGGATTGGCGTGGCACTTCCGTTTTTTTTTGGTTGGTCACAATTGGATTCTTAATAATTGTGGTAATTGAGAATCAATAGGAGAACAGGATGGTGAAACAATGGGTTCAACCCTACTAAAAAAAGATAGATTGCCACCTGGATGTTTTTTGTTAGGGTCCCATCTGACAAGTTTTATTTTTTTATTATTATTAAGGTTTTCATTGGAATAGTTGGGGCAAGCTTCGAAATCTAGGTTTTTGGCAATATTTTATATAGATTTTAATAAGGTCTTTGATCAAAGTTGAAATTATGTTTTCTTATTTTTATTGTTAAGGTTTTCATCGGAATATTAGGGGCACCCTAATACAAAATACCCCCCTAATGATAAAAATAGATCACTGTGTTTACCATTTGGGTGGGTTTTAGGAATAGGGAGAGAGGATGAGTCCAACATGGCAATCCAAAAATCCACTGTCAGTGATTTCCTCATCCAAAATCATTCATAGCTCCAGTTTTTCAGGCGATTTCCCGGCCTCTTTGATTCCCGGTAACTGAAATGTGGCCAAAAAAAACGAAAAAATCCAAGGAAAAGTGGAGATCAACAGGTGAAGATCAACTTTGAGGCGGCCGCAGTTGAACTAGGTCAGAGGGAATGCCCCAAAATTTAAGTTGGTTTATAGGCAAAATCTAGGGTTATGGGTGCTATATATATATATATATGAATGATATATCGAACTATAGTTAGCCAGGGTTATTATACATCCAACTGAGAACTGCGGGGCCGGGCACCACTTTGTGGGAGTTTCCTTCCTTGAATAAGGGATCCAAGAATGGTCATTAACGCCAAATCAATGGTACCCCAATACGGAGACACACCCATGTCAAAGCTTCTGATAGGAGGCACCAAATAAATTGTGTCTTGACTAAGTGGGTGACTCTCATTTGCACCTATAGGAATATTGGTTGGTGGTTTGGAACATTGTTTATTTTTCCATATGTTGGGAATAATCATCCCAACATCCCAACTGACGAACTCATATTTTTCAGATGGGTTGAAACCACCAACCAGTCATGATACGAGAGAGAGAGATGATGGAGACCATCAGGTTCGCAATCGGTCGTATTCATGTGCAGAACACCTAAGTTTGTCCGATGAAACTTTTGATCTTTAGTTGCCACCTTTACACCCTCAAGATGGAACTGTCCCTGTTCCTACTATCGTCATTTGTTGCAGGAAAATGCATATACAGTCATCATATCCTATCATATCATATCATATCATGTCATATCATATCCTGTCATATAGTAGTCGTGTTTCTGTTTACATATGTTTACATGATGTTTCCCAAATACGACCCTCAACGTTGCTGACTGCTTCAATGGCCAGCCTTGCGAGTTGGTTGAAAGTGTTGGGTGGTTGATGGTGGTTAGATAATTTAGATGATGAGTGCTCCAATTTGGCCTATAATCATAGAGGAACATGTGGAAACTTGATGTTCAGCTATGTTGAATCTGCTTTAGGGCAACGTTTAAACTAACATTTGTATATGATTTGTTTGTATTCACTTTATTTCGGCATTCATATGTTTGCTTCCTGGATGAATTGTGCAGTAATACCCTCAAACTATTTCTTTCTCTTGCAAAATACTGCGAAAACACAACATGATCATATATTTTCCAGACGTATGTCAACTCTCAGTAGCGGATCAAAAACCAGCTTAAGTCAATCATTTGGTCCGCCATGAACAATTCAAAGGGACCCTTAAAATTTGCCACCCAAACCAGCGCCTTGGTCCGGCAGGAACCCACCAGCGATGGATACTTGATGGAAGTCACTGCTTCCCCCACTGCTGCCAGAATGCTGAAAGACTTTGAGGTTGGAGATGGGTCAAACTCAGTCTCACGGGACCACAGGGGACCACAGGGGACCACAAAAAACCACAGGATTGTTTCCCTCGGCATGTCTGGCGGCCATCTACCCGGCCTGGTAAACGTAGCCACATAGCGAACTGGAAAGATCCACCATGCTATTAATGGGTAAATCAACGAACTAAATGGACCATTTTCAATAGCGAACTGTTAGTTTACCAGAGGGTAAGTCTTGGGACCAAAATTGTGACACAGATGGAGATGAGATACGGAGATGTTGCTGAAGCTCGACCTTCTGGTGACGGTTTGCGAAAGGAACATCACCGATAAGAAAGGTGAATCAGTTCTGAACTAATTAAATGAACCATCTGTACCATAGCTACCTTAGATGACAAGATGGTAACTTTTTCGGAACTATAAATTCTTTGTTTTCCTATTTTGGAGGGGGTTTTCCAAGGCGCCATTCCTTTTTTTAAAGGGCTTAATCGATCCTCGAGGGGAAAAAGAAGGTTTTTCTGGACCTTGAGGCTGCGATGACTTGTGATGATGGGTTTGGAATGGAGAGAATATGGACAGAAATAGTCCAAAAATGTCCAATCTCTCTCTCTCTCGCTCTCGCTCTTTCTCTCTCTTTCTCTCATTATGTGTATTTTTTTGAGGAGACTGCAGCATCTTGGAACATTTTTTTCTGGACCCATTCGGCTGCTGAAACCTCTGCGCAACTCAACTCCCAAAAAACCTTCCGACTCTGCAACTCGATTTCTTCCAGCCCTAGTTGTGCACGTATGTTTGGGAAGCCACGTGATAGAAGCTGAATTTCCATTTTGCTTGGATCCAGATTGCGAAGTAGGTAGATGTCAGATGTAGATTTGACCACGGAAAGCCAGCTGGTTGATGATTTCCAAGGAGCCAGGATTCGACAGGATTCGACAGGATTCGACAGGATGACAATTCCTACTAAGCAAAGCATGGTTTTTATTATGATAGGATTGATACGAATCTATAATTTCATGGTGGTCATACAGCCACCTTACCCTATTGATGAGCTTCTGATAATTTATGTCAATGATAATCCATGAGAATTTATGTTTCTTCTCTTGTGCACTTGTGGTGTGAACCCATTCAATCTTTCCACGACAGGTAAGCGAAGAAGACTTTGAACTGATCTCATCTATGTGAGTGGCCGCTGCATCCGTAGCTGATGGCGCCGGAGGTAAAGCGGTTGATGAATAGTCGGTGAATGGTTGTTTAATACATGGGTGGTGAATGGCTTATAATGGCTTCATCATTGTAAATTGATGGAAGTGCAAGGTATATTTATATATATATATATGGTATGATATTATATATAATTCAATTCATATTAATTAATTAATTATATATATATATATTATTGATATTTTTCAAGATAAATTAGATGTAGATAATGATTCCAATCTGATTCCAGCCAAATTTGACCTTGTGCCTTGTGTATCTCAGGTGAGCCACAGTTCATGGGCTTTCTGAGCCATGAAGCATCCTGGAAGTGGGATCTATGGTGCCAGTAAGTTGGGTGTAATATGCTACCATCTGATTATTTAACATAGCCATGGAACATCACCATGCTATTAATAGGTAAACCATCTATTTTTATGGGCCATCTATACCATGGCTATGTTAGTCATAACCAGAGGGTATAATTTTCTACTATCTAGTGATCTTCATCATGATGAGTCTTTTAAGACTATTTCAATACTTTTAGTACAAGTTGGGCGCTCCACAACACAAAGACTTGCGATTTTCAACTTCTGCAAGTTGACAGATACGAAAACGTCGTGGTCAAAGACCAAGGCAGATCTTCCCAAAGCGGGAGGGAGCCAGGAAAACCACAGACGCCTTCGTGATCAAAATGAATACCCGCGTTGCTTGAAACGGTGAAACGGGCTTTCGACGAAGCTCATGAACTTGCGATAGCTCAAGCAGTTCTTGTTCTAGGATTCAATGACAGTGCTTTCCCATCCAGCAAAGATCAATGATGATCAATGGCAATAAAACGAACAATCTTGGAAATCAGAATCAGACCTTTTTTTTCTATCCGAAGCTATCATTTCCCTGGTTTTTTCTTGTACAATCACGTCATTCAAACGAAAGCACAGCAGAAAGCTATACGGATACATCCGGCAGGGGCATGGACCCAAGCCGCGATTCCCAAGCTGGGTTAGTTTATTCCTGTGCAGTTCTCGGCAAGTTCGAGCAGCAACAGCCGCAGCAAAGATAGCAGTTGATATGAAAAACACCAATTTCATTTGGATGAACAGGAATTCAACTAGATTGTCAGATTGTTGGCCTATACACCTTATATTTTGGTTGGAAAGAAAAAGAAACCAACATTTTCCGACTGAACGCCAGAGGGGCTGGAATCACCAGTGATATTTTGCCCGTATTTTTGTTGCCGGCTCCAATCCAACTTGGCAATGGAAGATTCCAAACGTTTAGATGATTTCCTTCCCAAGGATCCACGTACTTCCTGAGAAGGTACTTGACCCCTGAATCATACCCCATGGCCACTACCGAAGGTCTTTGGATCCTTGGGGCTAAACAAATCCGGAAAAATAGGACGATGATAGATATATCTAATATATATATATATGGGTCCCCATATATCTATCTACCATAAACCATATATAATATATCCAATTACCATAAACCCAAGAGTATTGGAACTGTTTTCCAACTCAGCGATCACTGTTGGATCTCATGGACCTTCATCAGAGGCTTTCCGGAGGGCGCAACGCGGAGGGCGCCGCCCGTTTTCAATGCCTTCAACTGGCACAATATGATCATAATATGGGATTATATACCAATAATAGTGGTTAATGATGGTTAATGGTTAATAATCACTTGTTGGTGGTTTGGAACATGATTGTTATTTTTCCATAAATTGGGAATGTCATCATCCCATCTGACGAACTGATATTTTTCAGAGGGGTAGGTATACCACCAACCAGTGATAGAAGATACATATTGCTTAATGTGGCTTAATGTGGCTTAAACTGGTTTTCAATCACAATAAATCAGAAGATGGAACCGCAGGAACAGGAATTGTTTGATGAATATGGAACATTTATGAAGCATACATTGATGAACAGGAATGATACCCATTAAATCCAGCTTGAAAGTTGATGGAACCATATTATATAATTATAAATAACTATATGTTTTATGTATGTTATATTATAATTTATTATATATATATATTGATGGAACGAACTATGATGGCCATATTTGGAATGATGGTGATTTACCTGAGGCCTGTTTGATCAACTAAGGATTTGAAAAAAAACAGGAACAGGAATGGTATCAATATGTGGAATCGTAAGGATTTTCAACAACCAAAGTATGTTTGAACTAAGAAAAAGTAAGTTGCTTTCAGTTGTGGATGTTTCAAGTGGATTATGCTGCTTTCAATTATGGGTGTAACATCCAGTATTTTGGATGTAAGGACTTCTCCAGCTGAGTTTGGAAGATGATCCCAGTTGACTCGGTCATTTTCCCCAACGAGACCTTGAAATCACTCTCCGAAGACACCATACGGGCATATTTCCCATCTCAAATTGATGATGGCCCAAAACGATGCAGCCCAAAAAAGATGATTAAATAATATTAAATACACTGAAACATCAACAAATTCAGGGGTCTACTGCTACCTCATGTCATTGTCGAGTCATCCGAAAGGCAAGTCCCTGGTACTTTTCTGCTGAGGGAACATCATGGAATAGAAAAAACAACTTCTTTCCGGGGCAACTATGCTAAATAAGTCACAACAGTTGTTTTTTTTCTATAGTTTTTGTTGGTTTACCGCACCCCCTGTAATAATGTCCATTTATATCCATTTATAGGAACACGGAACACCCAAAAAGATAGAAAGACCATGTGCCACATAAAATGTTGTTTCGGATTTATTTGTTCACTCAATTTTGGACTTACTACTATACTGAAAAAACTCCCCTTGATGTTTACTATACTATGTGATTATTGAGGCATGGGACATACATAGTATTGAGAATCCCTATAACCCCATTCATTACTAGTAATCCCTACTATCGATAGTATTTTTTTTTTAAATGGGAGTGCCAATGATATTCCTATAATAGATAATTAGTAAGTGCCAATGATATTCCTATATTAGATATTCCTATATTAGATACTATAAATAGGGATAAATAGTGCCAATGATAGTATCTATGATATATCATAGATACTAATATAATGATTGATCAATGATAGTATCTATGATATATCTATCCCTATCTATAATGATATGAATTACTATAATGATAAGTAGTAATCCCTATTGATTTTTGTCCCTATGATATTCCTATGATATCTAATATAATATCCCTATAATATCCCTATCTATGATATATTAGATAAGTAGTAATCCCTATTGATTTTTGTCCCTATGATATTCCTATGATAGATAATATAAAATCCCTATAATTCCCTATCTATGATATATTAAGTAGTAATCCCTATTGATTTTTGTCCCTATGATATTCCTATGATATCTAATATAATATCCCTATAATATCCCTATCTATGATATATTAGATAAGTAGTAATCCCTATTGATTTTTGTCCCTATGATATTCCTATGATATCTAATATAATATCCCTATAATATCCCTATCTATGATATATTAGATAAGTAGTAATCCCTATTGATTTTTGTCCCTATGATATTCCTATGATATCTAGTATAATATCCCTATAATATCCCTATCTATGATATATTAGATAAGTAGTAATCCCTATTGATTTTTGTCCCTATGATATTCCTATGATATCTAATATAATATCCCTATAATATCCCTATCTATGATACGTAGTAATATCCCTATTGATTTTTTGTCCCTATGATATCCTATGAATATCTAATATAATATCCCTATAATATCCCTATCTATGATATCTAGATAAGTAGTAATCCCTATTGATTTTTGTCCCTATGATATTCCTATATATCTATATCATAATCCCTATAATATCCCTATCTATGATATATTAGATAAGTAGTAATCCCTATTGATTTTTGTCCCTATGATATTCCTATGATATCTAATATAATATCCCTATAATATCCCTATCTATGATATATTAGATAAGTAGTAATCCCTATTGATTTTTGTCCCTATGATTTTCCTATGATATCTAATATAATATCCCTATAATATCCCTATCTATGATATATTAGATAAGTAGTAATCCCTATTGATTTTTGTCCCTATGATATTCCTATGATATCTAATATAATATCCCTATAATATCCCTATCTATGATATATTAGATAAGTAGTAATCCCTATTGATTTTTGTCCCTATGATATTCCTATGATATCTAATATAATATCCCTATAATATCCCTATCTATGATATATTAGATAAGTAGTAATCCCTATTGATTTTTGTCCCTATGATATTCCTATGATATCTAGTATAATATCCCTATAATATCCCTATCTATGATATATTAGATAAGTAGTAATCCCTATTGATTTTTGTCCCTATGATATTCCTATGATATCTAATATAATATCCCTATAATATCCCTATCTATGATATATTAGATAAGTAGTAATCCCTATTGATTTTTGTCCCTATGATATTCCTATGATATCTAATATCATATCCCTATAATATCCCTATCTATGATATATTAGATAAGTAGTAATCCCTATTGATTTTTGTCCCTACTTGTAGGGATAATCATGGATAATCCGCCACTCTAGGCAGCGTGAGCGACTCCGGTCTCTGCTGCGTCAATGGGAAGCAACTTGGCGATCGATCTTCATCGACCTTCCCATTTTTTTTTGCTGTAGAAACGATAGATATCCTCTGGTAATTTAATGGCATTTAATGGCATTTAATGGGATTTAATGGGATTTACCTGGTAAACTAACAGTTTGCTATTGAAAATGGCCATAGAAATAGTGGATTTTCCCATTAATAGCATGGTGATTTTCTATAGTTATGTGACAGTTTACCAGAGGGTATCCAGCCCAGAAAAATGGTGATTTTTCATCAACACTTAAAATGTGATTTGACACACAAACATGGTGATTCAACCATCAGATTTGTGATCATATAAACAGCCAAAATTGGGATATAACTAGTTCATACCAGCAAGAATCAACAAACAAATGTGAGGACATAACCAGCAACAAAACTGCATGCATGGGATTTACTGTAACCAATAAATCTATTGTGGTATATAGTGGTATAAGACCCACCA